AATAACTCTAAACGCTTGCGGTCCTTCGTCAAATCTATGACAAAACAGAATCGTGCACCTACCTTTCTGAGAGACGGCCAACATTTTGTATCTAACCACAAAAACAAAGCAGACTTTTTGGCACAATTGATTCCCCCTGGAGACTACTGCTATACTCGCCGACCACTCAAGCGAACTTATTTTATCATCATACAGAGGTGGCAAAAGTTTTGAATAACATCGATCCAGCCAAAGCGCCTGGTCCGGACAACATTTCAGGTCGATTGCTAAAGGAAACGGCGCCCGAAATTTCCGTTTCTCTCTGCCGTCTCTTCAACCTTTCGCTGTCACTGGGTGAATTTCCAGATCAGTGGAAACTGGAACATGTTTGTCCTGTTTTCAAAAAAGATGACCCAGCGCTAGCCAAAAACTATTGTCAAATTTCTTCATTATCTATCTGGTCCAAAAGCTTTGAAAGGTGTGTTTTCAATCATTGTTATCTGCACATAATGCACTGTCACTCAGCTTGTTCAAGTCAATCACGAAGTCATTAATGCCTTCGTTGAAGGCAAAGAGATTTATGTGGTTTATTTAGACTTTGCCAAAGCGTTCGACAAAGTCCCCCACTCAACCGTGATCAACAAGTTGTCTCGCTTTTGTATATCAGGCCAGTAGAGGCAATGGTTCCAGAGCTATCTCTCCAACAGATCTCAGCGAGAAGCGCTACAGGGTACCTATTCCAACTTGCTTCAACTTACTTCTGGAGTAGCTCAAGGCTCCCTATTGGGTCCTTTACTCTTTCTAGCCAATATCGACAATATTCCACGATGCACCTAACATGACTATAAAATAGCAATTTCGCTGACGACTCCAAATTATACAAGATTATTTCGAAGCCTTCTGATATAAGATCTCTCTTAAGAAACTTCTCTCCAACTGGAGTCACATCTGGCAATGAGCCTCATCGTGCCAAAGTGCCAAGGCCCTAAACATCTCCAGGAAAAAATCACCGTCATACAAAGAATACCACCTAGATGGGACCCTACTAACCACAGCTAGCGAAACCAACGACTAGGGCATAACCATTCTGGACAACCTTCCGTGGTCTTAACACGTAAATCAGACCTCCTTGAGAGCAAAACCATACTCTTGGCCTTATTCGCCGAATCTGCAGAGACATCAGTTACACTGACACCAGGAAACTTTTATACTGTTCAATTGTTCGACCCAAATTGGAATCCGCTAGTGAAACTTGGTCCCCTTACACTTGTAAGGACAAACTTCTTTTAGAAAGTATCAAGCGCAGAGCTATGAAGTTTATTTTGAATTATCCGAAAGACATATCTTATAAGGATCGGTTACTCAAACTTGACCTATTGCCACTGGAGAATAGACAGGATTTGAAAAACCTGGTCCTTATTTTTAAAGCCAAAGCAGGGCACGTAGATCTCGGCCATCAAGATTTTTCCGGCAAACGGAAATACACCATCGCACGCGCAAAGCATGCAAATTTAACTACCATATACCTTATGCAAAGAAAAACTATTTAAAACACTCCTTTTAGTATAGATCGATAGCTAGCTGAGGGATTAGCCGATTGCGCTACTACCACCCAGGGTAGTTCGAAATATCAAAAATAGTTAGGAAATGATGCACTAGTTTTGGCCAAGATTGGGCGAGCAAGTTCGTGACTTTTAGGCTTGTTTCGGCTATTTCACGAAATGAGACCGGACTACTTCGCGATATCTTGAGATCACTTCGAGTTTAGTCTTTAATTTACTCGAGGAATAAATGGAGGATATTACGTGGTCACGCGGAGACAAGAAATTCCTCTTCGAGTGTTGAAAAACATTTCAAGAGTGATACCTCCTTCGAACTGTTTTATGATGAATTTAACGTTACAAAAGGCTGCACAAAGACATTTTGTCTTTGTTGAGTGTTACGTAGTAAGTATTCATGAAAAATTAATTAGGGCATGTTTACATTTCAGCATGAGCCAGCAGATTTGCATCCGTTACTGAAATCATAAAATATGTCGAAAAGCTACTACTATTCGCCTGTTTAGTATTTTCTAGAACCTTGAGTTAAACGGTATACAAGTTCCAAGCGAGTTCTTTTGACGAAGTAAGTTTTTTCCCACGCGCTGGACTGCTGTGTTTAGTCAAGTATGACGAAGGACGATTTTCAAGTTCTGTGTTTACAAGTTGGCGGAAGCCGTAAGATACCGGAAGTTCAAGTGAGAGTTTGTTATTATTGGCAGAGGCTGTTTAGTTTTACTTAAGTTCAAGTCAAGTTTGTGTTGGCGGATGCTGTGTTTTAAAGCTTTGTAAAGGCTATGTTTCTTTGGTATTAAACTTCCTTGAGTTAATCCGACATCCCTGCGTGCTGATAGTCAGTGAATAATTATCCTCAAAACATTCGAACTCGTAACATTGAGCTTTAGCCAATTCCATGCTCAACGTAATTGACTCCTTACCCATGCCTTACATTTCTTTAATCAGTATATGAGACTGCTATGTTGTTTTTGAAGCCTGATGTGACTGAGAAAAATAGAGAATTCTTTTTTCACTGTTTGTTTTGTTAGACTTGTTATTCACCGCCAGTAACCTCATATTTGACCTAGGTGTAAACGTTAAGACCCAAGTCAAATTTAGAAGGATTTGTATGGAGTCATCAGAGCATAACTGGGCTAGTATCTCAGAGACAATTTGTCCCGAAATGCTAGTTTTTGGCAAGTAGGCCTCTTGGATGTTGGTCTTTTCAGAATATCCTGACAAATCCCATAATTTCACAAATTAAGTGCCATTGTCTGAGAAAACCGGGCAGAGGCCACGGATCGAGGTCAACCGATTCCTTTCATCTTTCGGCTGTTTTCAACCTTCATTGAGACAGGATGAATGGCAGTATTCTTAAACTTCATCAGCTTTTAGTTTCCGAGATCAGACCACCCCCCCTAAAAACCAGCCGACAGCAACTGAAAATACGTTTAATTTAGATGCTTAACTTCGGCAACGCGTAAAATTTTTTCTCGTGCTGCAAATACCTCCAACTTCAGGATACTATTATTTCGATAGACCTGCGATGATTCTAGGTCATCAACGGCCACTTCCAACCATTTATCAATGTCTCAAAGGCAAAATAATTTGCACATAGAAAAATTTTGAAATATTATTTGCTTGATGAACCACTTTTTCAAAAATCGTTTTCTCAAAAAGGCGGCAGTTTGTGAGGAAATGAAATACTTCTTTGTACTCATTATTACCCTTACTATACATGTAAAAAAACCGAAGTTTGGGACCTGGTAAATTAGAGGCGCTGTCAGCGATAGTTTGAGGTCCACTTTATCACCGATGAGGGCGATATGTCACGTCACGGCCAGTTTGTCACGCACTGTTTGATCGCACATAATTAACATTACTCAAAGAAATGTTAACTCCTCGATTGTTTATTGGTCAGAAAGGTAAAAACGTTGAACATTTATCTCTATTCATACAAAAAGGAATTAAAAAAAATAAAAACAACAACAACAATAAACGCATAATGCGAGCGAATTGTGGAACCCGTTTCGAGCAGAAGTGAATGATGCCGGTATCAAATTGCATAATTCTTGATACTGAACAAAAAGACCGCCATGAACTCGGTACATGTTCCGTCGTATAAAATCCCTTTGCATGTACTTATTCTTATCAGCTACTGAAACGAAGGATAAGTGCCGAGAATAAAAAACTATTTCGCAAAAACATACCCTCTTAACCATGACCAAATTAAGACATGGCAGCCATGGCCGAGATGCCTGGAAGAGCAAGGCAAGCCAATTTCCCACATGGAAACCATGGATAAAGAGGGGGCCTCAGAATGAAAAACTAATGATTGGATAAAAGAAATCCACATTTTTTTCGCCGCCGAACACTTGGATAATAAATAAAAAACTTTTCCCAGAAAAGCAGGCGCATGAGGAGATCATCGGAGATTGTGACGCACGTAGGTTACGAATTTAATGGTTTTGAGCTAAAACATAAAAATCGATTGGCGGGATAAGCTAGCGAGGGATATCCAAGTTCACACCGCTCAATCCCACAGATGGTGATTGGTTTATTCGCAACCAATTAAACCAGCCTTAGCAAACCGCGGCGTTTTAACAGGGCTCCAGAGGTTAAAAAACACCTTCCTTGTTGTAATTTTCATGTGAGTTGGATTGACCTAGCTAGCAGGTGAACGAAGGGGTCTACCGGGCAGACTCTGCCACGCTGTTTTGCCTAGTGATTTCGTTATCCACAGTTTTGCCTTCATCTATGGTCAGTAAAAAAAAAAAAGGAAAACAATCGTGCCCGCTTCTAATAACAAGCCATACCTTACCCTCATTTAAGTCAAAAGGTTATAAAAAACGGGTTAGAAGGTCTTGGTTAACCATACGCCCCTAATTAGCCTAAATATTCAGTAGAGCGATTTGCGTATGACCTTGAAAATCGTTTCAGTAAGTGTTCGTTATTTGTTTTATAAGCCAATGGATGAAAAGATCGAAACATGGACTATTCGTTTTCCCGCCAAAGAAAACCCAATAAAAGGGAAGAAAGCATTGTTTGATTGGCCAATCTTGTTGCAGTATGACATCAAAGCGAAGTATCTCATTGATTTCTTAAAGTTCTCGGGCATAAACTTTTTTTACCCGAGCGTTTGCTTAACCAACCAAAAGTCACGTGCGTTTGTATCCGTTCGATAAACTAATCAAACCGCTTTATTTCTGTTCCTTTGTTGTTTTCGTTTCAAGGTTATACGAAAATCGCTCTACTGAATATTTAGGCTAATTAGGGGCGTATGTAAATAAATAAATTTACATAAATTTACATAAATAGCGATTGTTAAGGTGTCCTTAATACACACTCTTAACTACTATATACGATGTCAAAATGCCGTAATAGCAATCGTAAAAAATTGCGTCACCACTGAACTGGTCTCTGACTGAGTCATCTAGGCTTCTCTCATACTGTTTCAAGTTAATCTACCCCGATACAGTCGATGTCTTACAACAAATTGCTACATGAACAAGAATTAACTAACTCCTCAATGGCGTTTATGAAGGTAACTTTTCTTTGCTGATTTCCAGTGGTCGTCAAAGAAAGATTTGTACAGATGTTCTTTAGGTCTACCACTTTGAGATTTTTAAGCTTTCTTTCTTTTGCCATCAAGCAAATATTGTGGCCTTCAGAATAAACTGGGTGTTGAAGATCCACTGCACTGTACACTTCCTTCCGTATACTCTCTGCTTCTAAGTGACCTTCCCAGCTCCTAAGATCCTCTTCATCGACATTTTCTTCATCACGTAATGTTACTGAAGCGACATGACTGCTTTTCTTTAATGCTGACAGTCGGGAAAAAAAGCTGCTTATTTGCCGTGCAGTTTTCCAGTCCTCTGGCAAAAATACAGGTGAACCATTCGAGTATTTAGCTTCCTGCATCTCCTTTGCGACTTCTGACGGATTTGCCTTCTGGCCACTAAGGCCCTCATTGAATTTTGCAATCAAAAAACTTTTAACGTTCTTGGAGGTCTCAGTAGCAGTTTTTTGACCTTTTAGTGCCCAACCCTGCGAAGTGGGAGCTTCATTTCCGTTGCTTGTACGAAGCGCTCGGGTTGATGTAGTTGGCACGCTCAGAGTCGTCCGGGAAGCTATTTCGGTAACATGCTGCGCCCATTTTCTTCGCACACTGTCGTAAAGTGTTTCACGTTCCAAAACAAGCTTATGAACTCCAGTGTCCATATGATTTTGTGCTTCGTTTTCGTTTTCAAACCTTACCACACAGACCTTATTTTTGGCGGATCGCTCTTTATAAGTGGGCCTCGTGTTGAAAATGCCTTGGGCCTGGGCTATTGCCCCAAAAGGTTGTAACAACTTCAATCCAGTCTTTCCCTGTGGTTTCATTCCTTCACACGACACCAGTTTTCCGGGACCAATTTGGTATGCACTCCAAATGCGAATTCCCTCTTCTGTAAACTCAAAATTGTTGAGCTTACTAATTCCTTTGATTTTGTTTGTCCCACCAGTTTCATTAGCACATTAATGCAATTAACACAAAATTGTTTTCGCCAACTTACTAAGAGTATACAGCTATTTCGAGGAAGGTTGTCGGAAAAAGTGCACGCGACAATCCCGAAAGGTATAGTTGTGGGTGGTTTTGAGTTTACTGTTCTTTAAAGAAATTTTGAAAGAATGGCACGAGAGAGGCCATGGAGGTATGTTTGCGAGTGCTAAAGAAAAGCAACAAAAGTAGGTTTGACAGCTACAGTGTCAGGATCAGTGTATTGATAATATCCCAAACCTTTCAGGATTGTCGCGTGCACATTTTTTCCGACAACCTTTCTCGAAATAGCTGTTAACAGGAGAGGATAAAGGGGACAGAGAAGGCATCCCCCATACATACCCTATTCCATAGGAAATTCGTCTCGAGTTATTTTTAGAATCGGGATAAAGTTACCTCGCGCGCTGCGTGGATGTTTCGTGGAAGTTTCGCATGACTAAACGCCGTGCAAAACATGTCGTAACCTCAGTGCTTTAATAAAATGAGAAATTTCGCCGGTCGTTTGTACAATAAAGCAAGTAGGACGCCAATTGTTATTTTTGTTGAATAATAAAAGACTAATAAAAGAATAAATATCAAACCAGAAATTGCTCTCTTCAAACTGTAAATTATAAATGATCCTGAGAGAATATTCAGTGTGTTAAGGATTTCTCTGCTGTACTGTTAGCTCTATACAAGAGAGGAAGGGCGATTTTTTTTAAATTTCCGTTTCGCTGGCACAGCTTTAGGAGAAATCTCTCTGCAGTCGTTTTCGTCGACAAAACGAATAGCAATATCAATCTCCTCGTCTTCCGCCCTTTTGTTCTGCGTCAATTCGTGAAGGATGCGTGCCTCTGAGCGTGGGTCATCCACGCAGAACACATTCGCGCTATGTGATTGGCTGTTGTCTAATCCCCCTTGAGATCTGTGGTGTTAAAAATAACTCGAGACGAATTACCTGTGGAATAGGGTGTGTATGGGGGATGCCTTTTCTGTCCCCTTTATCCTCTCTTGCTGTTAAGTCTTCATTAATTCACAACATAGTCCCCGCAAAGCACCCCCGCAAAATTTAGCATCCACGAGAAAAATTTAGTGCCACACGGTAACCACTATGCGTTTTATTTATGTGATTTAGTTACATGTGTCATTCGCTTTTCAAATTTAACTGTAATGTAAAATTGCTAATCAAGGTAGTATGAACTTACCACTACAGTTGTCTCAAGTTGCTTTACTTATCGTATCTGGTAGTGTCTTTTTCTGCACTTTGTACATATAACTAACGAGGCCAAGGCAAAATAAATTAATAGATAAATAAATAACGTGTCCTGATTTTGTTTTCTCTCACAAAAAATGCTGGGGTGGAAAAATAAGGAACATTCACTCCTTTCTCACTCTTTACACAGTCGTGATGGAAATAAACTAGGGTTTCTACTCAAGATACCAAAAAAATAAGATCCTTTCTGTATAATCACAGGCTACCCAAGCTCAGTTATGATAACTGTAAGTCACTGATAATGTTCTCCAGCAAGAAGTGTTCTATCAATGCATGTACTAATGTTTTCTCATACCTGCTCCAAGTAGAACTGAATGGTTTTCTAAGAAATATATGCTTCTCGACATTTCCAGGTTGACGCGTCGAGCATTATTCTGCTTCGTGAGCTTTCCCAGATGATCAGGATGAAAACATGTCAATCGCTTTCTACCCGGCCATCCATAGGTCAAGAGATATCTATGCCGTGGGCACTCAGTCAATTCGTCTACCTGTTTTTGGCTGGGCGCGATAAAACCGCCACGGTTAAAAAGGACTTCAGCTTCGACAATTTGCGTATTTCCACTTTGCGTTTTTCCACTTACACCGAGTGCGGACAGATGGTCAAATATATTATTCGCACACGACTTTACTGGAACGATAGTAATATCCTCTTTTCCCGGTGCAGGTCCACAATGTGAATCTTCGGGAAAAAAGGAGCAACTCATTTTGAAGATGCTATCGTTTTTTAACATCGACAGAAAGTGATGAATATTTTCCGAAGCGTGTGTGAAAATTTTGTAATTAGGATGACTGACAGGTGAAATCCAAAAAAGTAAAGAAAACTTATTCAAGTTTCTCTAAAAGAGAGCCCCATAAAAATTAATATGTCAAAGTTTTTGTCAGTTGAATTCAGCCGTCATTCTAATAGCCAAGTTGATATCGAAAATTCCACGAAAGACTTTTTTTACTTTTTATTATTTTTTCCCGAAGAATCTGCGGACTGTAAAACTGGCGTTGTGCCATCGCGCAAATGTAAACAAAACGGAAACAGTTTTCAAAGAAAGAATGCTGATGTTTGACGGATAGCCTTATTTTATAAACTTTCTTTTTTAATAAAAAGCTGAATTTTGTATTTTGTAATGTACCGAATTTCTCAGTAAGATTTATTTAAGTCTTGGTCAATTTAGAATGCGTGACAAACTTTCCGTGACATGACCTTTCGCCCGATATTGGCGATAAAATGGACTTTTAACTCTCGTTAACAACGTTTGTAATTTACCAGGTCCCAAACTTCTGTTTTTTTACATGTATAGTAGGGGTAATAATGAGTACAAAGAAGGGATTTAATTTCCTAATAAACTGCCGCCTTTGTGAGAAAACGATTTTTGAAAAAGTGGTTCATCAAGCAAATAATATTTCAAAATTTTTCTATGTGCAAATTATTTTGCCTTTGAGACATTGATAAATGGTTGGAAGTGGCCGTTGATGACCTAGAATCATAGCAGGTCTATCGAAATGACAGTATCCTGAAGTTGGAGGTATTTGCAGCGCGCGAAAAAATTTTACGCGTTGGCGAAGTTAAGCATCTAAATTAAACGTATTTTCAGTTGCTGTCGGCTGGTTTTTAGGGGGGGTGGTCTGATCTCGGAAACTAAAAGCTGATGAAGTTTAAGAATACTGCCATTCATCCTGTCTCAATGAAGGTTGAAAACAGCCGAAAGATGAAAGGAATCGGTTGACCTCGATCCGTGGCCTTTGCCCGGTTTTCTCAGACAATGGCACTTAACACCTTACTCTTACCATATTTCATTTCTTACTATTCCTCCGCATTTACCACGACGCCGAAGTGTACGCTCCGTAGCGTCTTGTTTCATTTGGTTCTTGGGGCAAGATATTAGTTGGGACATTGTCCTGTCTCCTGCCCCAGTTGCAATATTTATTTATTTATTTATTTTACTTTTTTTTCTCTATTTAACGTATTTTATATTTTTTGTGTACATATTAATTGATAACATGCAACGAATTCAATACAGTTTAAGTTAAAGTACTACACTGTGGACTTCGACACGATGTCATCCGAAAGTTTTTTACTTTCAGAAAAAAGGGAGGCTTATATACAGCATAGATTTGGCTTGAATTAGCTCAAATTGCTTCTGGATAATATAGCACTTTATATGAACAGGAGAAAGAGTTTAAAAGAGGTCAAAAGCTCAGGCATTTTTAATTTTTTCCTTTCAGGTTTTGTTTTCTAAACTAGCTACATTAATGCAACAGCCGGCTTGCTTTTATGTGGCTGAATCCGCAAGCGGGCAAAATAACACTAATTCTTTGTTGTGATTGACTGCACTGGCGTGCAAGATATGGGCCTTTATTTCCAGCGTTGATCTTAGAAGAAAAAAGTTGTCTTGGCCGCCACATAATCCTTAATTTACAAAGCTTGTTCGGTCAAGATGGATGAATATTAATCTTGTTCGTTTTTGTGTTGTTACGATCTCAACCGCTTCACCTCGGTCCATGAAAACTTGAAAAAGAACTTGGCTAATATCCAGCCATGCTGACTGATCTAACCCTTGGTCAGTAATGCATATTTCCTTTCTAAATAACAACTATTGAATATTTACTCCCGAGATGACTAATGACTTCTTTTCTCTTAAGGTGATTGTTTTCATTACTTTGGAATGACGGCAAAATGGTTGTCTCAATATGAATTTTGTTTGTCGAAATTTTAAAAAGGCTTTGCAAAGTAGTACTTTTTGTCTGAACAGGAAGCATACAACGAGTGTATTTTTACAAGAGGATAATAATCCTGTTCCAGTGACAAGTATAAACATCACTGGAGCCACCAAGCTGCAAAGAGATTGTAGGGGAGGGAACTCGAATGCTAGCCGCTCTACGGCTTGAAATCGATAAACGTCAGCTGTTTTGAGATCTGTTGGTGTATAACTTTCGAATGCGGAAAATATCTTAAATACCTAACAATGTCACGCCCAAGCCATCCTTTTGCATATAAACAGTCCTATCAGTTAGAACAGGGAAAGCACAGGAAAGCAGTCCACGATTACACATCCTGAGAAACATGGCGTCATCATCCGGTACGTGTCCTTCTTTTCCAGAGTGCTTTGGCATTACTCCACAAGTTTTTCAAGACGCTTTTGATGATCCTCGTGACGGAACCTATCGATTAAAGCCGAAATGGTCATTGGCCTTTACTCATGCAGTTTTAACAACCGGTGATCGTGCAACAACTATCGCAACGCCAGTGAGAACTGGAAGCGCTGGTGAACTGTGGAAAATGTGCACGGGTAATTCTGTCACCAAAGTATTGTGTTTACAACTGCCCAAACCAACGCTGTACACCAAGCAGTCCACAACCCGCCCGCGCCACAGCTCATGTCTACTGTACGTCTCAGAAGCCAAAAGATAATATTTCTTTTATGATACTTATCCCAACATGCGGTTGTTGTAATCATGCTGGGCAAGCTGCCAAGAGCGAGACAAATTACCCACCAACTGGTCAAGAGGCGTATAGATTGTACACGGTAACTGGCGCCCGGATGATCTTCATCAAAGTCAGCGGCCAAACAGTTGCTAATAAAGGTTCGGGAAAGGGGACTGGACAGCGTGGAGGATACAAAGGTGACTACCCTCCCGGACCTCCTAATGGAGCCAACATAGTCCGCTAAATGCCGGAATAAACTTGTATAAAGGGATGGATCAGCGCTACCCGCTGATTGTGTAACCAATAGAAACAGAAAGCGTGTAAAATTAGTCTAATTAGAAGAGGACGTTTATTGGCAATATTCTGAGTCATAAATTGAAGTACAAAAGCCACATTAACCCCATGTAAATTTAGAGTTCAGTGTTAAAACATCCATTGGAGGGAAACTGCCCATTCAATGTGATGATGTTTCTTGTAAGGAATAAAATACCAAAAGTAGTGTAAGAAGCCATGGTAGTTGTTGTTATTACGAGTACTTGGGAAGTATAAATTTCTTTTGAGCACTAGTCAAGCTGATGAAGTTTAAGAATACTGCCATTCATCCTGTCTCAATGAAGGTTGAAAACAGCCGAAAGATGAAAGGAATCGGTTGACCTCGATCCGTGGCCTCTGCCCGGTTTTCTCAGACAATGGCACTTAACACCTTACTCTTACCATATTTCATTTCTTACTATTCCTCCGCATTTACCACGACGCCGAAGTGTACGCTCCGTAGCGTCTTGTTTCATTTGGTTCTTGGGGCAAGATATCAGTTGGGACATTGTCCTGTCTCCTGCCCCAGTTGCAATATTTATTTATTTATTTATTTTACTTTTTTTTCTCTATTTAACGTATTTTATATTTTTTGTGTACATATTAATTGATAACATGCAACGAATTCAATACAGTTTAAGTTAAAGTACTACACTGTGGACTTCGACACGATGTCATCCGAAAGTTTTTTACTTTCAGAAAAAAGGGAGGCTTATATACAGCATAGATTTGGCTTGAATTAGCTCAAATTGCTTCTGGATAATATAGCACTTTATATGAACAGGAGAAAGAGTTTAAAAGAGGTCAAAAGCTCAGGCATTTTTAATTTTTTCCTTTCAGGTTTTGTTTTCTAAACTAGCTACATTAATGCAATAGCCGGCTTGCTTTTATGTGGCTGAATCCGCAAGCGGGCAAAATAACACTAATTCTTTGTTGTGATTGACTGCACTGGCGTGCAAGATATGGGCCTTTATTTCCAGCGTTGATCTTAGAAGAAAAAAGTTGTCTTGGCCGCCACATAATCCTTAATTTACAAAGCTTGTTCGGTCAAGATGGATGAATATTAATCTTGTTCGTTTTTGTGTTGTTACGATCTCAACCGCTTCACCTCGGTCCATGAAAACTTGAAAAAGAACTTGGCTAATATCCAGCCATGCTGACTGATCTAACCCTTGGTCAGTAATGCATATTTCCTTTCTAAATAACAACTATTGAATATTTACTCCCGAGATGACTAATGACTTCTTTTCTCTTAAGGTGATTGTTTTCATTACTTTGGAATGACGGCAAAATGGTTGTCTCAATATGAATTTTGTTTGTCGAAATTTTAAAAAGGCTTTGCAAAGTAGTACTTTTTGTCTGAACAGGAAGCATACAACGAGTGTATTTTTACAAGAGGATAATAATCCTGTTCCAGTGACAAGTATAAACATCACTGGAGCCACCAAGCTGCAAAGAGATTGTAGGGGAGGGAACTCGAATGCTAGCCGCTCTACGGCTTGAAATCGATAAACGTCAGCTGTTTTGAGATCTGTTGGTGTATAACTTTCGAATGCGGAAAATATCTTAAATACCTAACAATGTCACGCCCAAGCCATCCTTTTGCATATAAACAGTCCTATCAGTTAGAACAGGGAAAGCACAGGAAAGCAGTCCACGATTACACATCCTGAGAAACATGGCGTCATCATCCGGTACGTGTCCTTCTTTTCCAGAGTGCTTTGGCATTACTCCACAAGCTTTTCAAGACGCTTTTGATGATCCTCGTGACGGAACCTATCGATTAAAGCCGAAATGGTCATTGGCCTTTACTCATGCAGTTTTAACAACTGGTGATCGTGCAACAACTATCGCAACGCCAGTGAGAACTGGAAGCGCTGGTGAACTGTGGAAAATGTGCACGGGTAATTCTGTCACCAAAGTGTTGTGTTTACAACTGCCCAAACCAACGCTGTACACCAAGCAGTCCACAAC